GTGAGCACGGAAACGGAGAAACCACCGTGACTTCCCGAGCAGCCTCGGCATCCTCCGCAGGCAGCCCGACACCCACCGGACACCGGCACCTCCCGGCCCCCCGGGACTGCAGCAGGGATCAGTCACGGAGTGGGCACGGTGGGCAGGGACCCCAGAGCCCCTCAGTGCCACCCTGCCATGGCAGGGACACTCCCACTGTCCCAGGTTGCTCCAGCCCCAGTGTCCAGCCTGGCCTTGGGCACTGCCAGGGATGCAGGGGCAGCCCCAGCTGCTCTGGCAATTCCAGCCCAGCCAGGAACTCCTCATTCCCAAAATCCCATCCATCCCTGCCCCCTGGCAGCTTAAACCCCCTGGAATATCCCAAATCGATCCCAAGGTGGATCTTGGCTCCTCTCATGCAGGCCATGTCCATCCAGCGCTCTGTGTCCAAAACTTCCAGACTCCTTCAGCCACTGGTTTTGGAAGTTAGCTGTCCTGGACTCTCAGGGTATGGGGGATGCAGAGAAAACCCCTCCGATCCCGAGGTAAAACCCAGCACAATCCCGGCTCTGGGAAGCAGTCATTCCCAGGTAAAACCAGGCACAATCCCAGCTCTGGGAAGCTGTCATTCCCAGGTAAAACCAGGCACAATCCCGGCTCTGGGAAGCTGTCATTCCCTGGTAAAACTCAGGACAATCCTGGCTCTGGGAAGCTGTCATTCCCAGGTAAAACCAGGCACAATCCCTGCTCTGGGAAGCTGTCATTCCCAGGTAAAACCAGGCACAATCCCACCTCTGGGAAGCTGTCATTCCCAGGTAAAACCAGGCACAACCCTGGCTCTGGGAAGCTGTCATTCCCACGTAAAACCAGGCACAACCCTGGCTCTGGGAAGCTGTCATTCCCAGGTAAAACCAGGCACAATCCCACCTCTGGGAAGCTGTCATTCCCAGGTAAAACCAGGCACAATCCTGGCTCTGGGAAGCTGAAGGAAGAGCCAGGAGAATAAAACCCGTCCATTTCCAGGGAATAATGTGAGCAATCAGCACACAGTAAAACAGACACTGCCATGGAAGGAGCTGGTTCCCACTGCCAGGAGTGTTCACGCCACACTTTTCTCTGGAGCCCCTCTCCCACACAGCCCCACGGAGTGGGCTGGGTGCCTGGCACAGTGAAGGGACATGGGGACACAGTGCCAGGCAGGTGGTGTGTCCACGCTCTGCATTCCTGGACACATCCCCCGTGGCTCCACAAACCAGGAAAAGCATCTGGATGCCTGCCTGGATCCTGGACAGCCTGTGCAGCCAAAGCAGCTCAAGGCCCCGGTCCTGCAGCCAAAGCCACAGCCCTTGAGAGAGTTCAGAGCCCTTCTCTGCCCCTGCCCGAGGAGCAGGATGCAGTCCCAGGCCCTGCAGCACAACCCCAGGTCACGGGGGATGAGGCTGCTCCAGGAAACCCCAGGGACAGGCAGCTCCAGCAACACCCAGCGACCCCAGGGAACCCAGCACGGCCTGCTCCAGCACGGATCTGCTTTTGGTTTTGTTCCCACAAACTGCATCGGCCAGGCACCATCTCATGGAGCCAGGCTGGGAGGGAAGGGAAGGACACAGGGAGAGCTCAGAGCCCCTGCCAGGGCCTGAAGGGGCTCCAGGAGAGCTGCAGAGGGACTGGGGACAAGGGATGGACAGGACACAGGGAATGGCTCCCACTGCCAGAGGGCAGCCATGGATGGGATCTTGGCCATGAGGAATTCCTGGCTGGGCTGGAATTGCCAGAGCAGCTGGGGCTGCCCCTGCATCCCTGGCAGTGCCCAAGGCCAGGCTGGACATTGGGGCTGGAGCAGCCTGGGACAGTGGGAGTGTCCCTGCCATGGCAGGGTGGCCCTGCAGGGGATTTGGGATCCCTTCCCACCCAGCCCAGCCTGCGATTGTCTCTCTGGAGATGCTGCAGAGCCACCTCAGCTCCCACCACCCCACCAGACCTCTCCCTTTCACATCCCCATCTGCAAACTCATCCTGCTCAACCTGAAATCCCACAGGCACTGCACTCCCAGGACTCAGCACTGGCCGGGAAAGCACCAGAGCCCTGGCAGTGCTGAGGGGCTCATCCAAGCTTTGTTTACAGGGACAGCACCAGCCTGGCACAGCCCAGCCTGGCACGGCACAGCCCAGCCTGGCACGGCCCACGGCTCTGCCAGAGCAACCCAACCTGTACAGCAATTAGTCACCGGCAGATGAGCGCCGCTGCCCTTCCTCCAGCATTATCTAAGCAGGGAGGGGGGTGGGAAAACAGAGCTGGGAATGCTGCCAGCCTGATCCCAAAAACCACAGAACCGGTGTCGGTCCGTCCCTGGGGACAGGCTGGCACAGCCCTGGGGACAGGGTGCAGGACAGTGCTCAGACACCTCCAGAGTGGCACGGGGAGGGGTTTGCCTGGGCTGTCACAGAGAGGCCACAGCTCCTGGGTGCCTCATCCTGCACAGCCACCTCTGACTGGGCCATCCCAGCAGCCAGGAGGCTCAGGCTGGTGTCTGGGAGCTGTCCCTTCCCAGGGGAACCTGGACCCATCCCCCCCAGGGCATCCTCGATCCATCCCCCCACAATATCCTAGAGCAATCCCCTCCCTGCAAAGGTGAGTTAGACCCAAAATAAAGCTAATATTTACACCAAAGGAACATGATTTGTTAAGTGTGAGCTCTTCCCTTCCCAGTGGCACAGAACCATGGAGTCGTTTGGGTGGGAAGGGACCAGAAAGTTCATCTTGATCCACCCCTGCCATGCAGGGACACCTCCCACTGTGCCAGGCTGCTCCAAACCCTGTCCAGCCTGGCCTTGGGCACTGCCAGGGATCCAGGGGCAGCCCCAGCTGCTCTGGGCACCCTGTGCCAGGGCCTGCCCACCCTCCCAGCCAGGAATTCCTTCGCAATATCCCACCTAAACCTGTTCTTCCTTTTGGCTGTCCCACTGCAGCCAGCCACACCCCTCCCAGCATCATCCCTCTCCCCCAAACAAATCCCAAATGACCCCAGACACATCTGGGACATTTCTGTTCCCTGGGAAACCCAGGCTCTGGGAGTCACAGCAGGGAACACCAGGCCCAAGGAACGCCGTGTCCCTGATCCCCACCAGCCACCAGCCAGCCCACAGCACCAGTCTGAAGGGGCAGGTCCCACCTGCAGCATCCTCAGGGAGGAGATGAGGAAGAAGATGCAGGAGGAAGCACCTGGGGGCAGGACAAAGGGGGTACAGCCCCCCAGCATGGCTCCTGAGGGGATGTGGAACCTGCTCCTAGATGGAATCCTGGAATCCCCCTGCATCTCCCACCCCAGCACGGTGTGTCCCATGGGGCAGCAGCCCCAGGCCAAGGGGACAAGGGGGAACACAGCTGCAATAACAACAACAAAACACCACACCAACACCACACGAGCAGAAAGCCCTCAGGGAACACCAAACTCTGATCCAGAGCTCTGCTCTCCAGCATTCCCCACACACACCTCGCTCCTCCTGCCCTCCCCAGGGACCCCGGCTGCTCCAGGCTGGCACGGGGCTGGGATCCAGCCTGGCATTGTGGGTCTGAACCGAGCCCCAGCAGCATGCCCTGATGGACAAACCCACAGCAGAACCAGGATCCCCTTCCCCAGCTGCGAGCACAGGCTGGGAGTGTGCCGGGGGGAAGAGGCTCGGGGGGCTCTGCAGCAAAGCCCTCATTTCCTGATTTTAGGGACTTCACCTCCTCCGTGACACTGCCAAAGCTCGCCTTCCCCAAAAGCTCTGGGGGCAGGAACCAGAAGGAAACACGATGGGAAGAAACCCTAAATCCCCAACAAGGGACAGCCCACGACCAAAACCACCGACAGCATCACCTGCCAGCGAGCAGGGATGCGGGAGAGGACGGAGGAACTGGGGGAGGTCCCGCAGATCCGGGGGTCAGGAGCGTCTGAGGGAGCAGGGAGGGCACGAGGGCCTGCCTGAGGGGGCTGTGGGTGCCCGGGAAATGGGGCTGGGGGTGAAACCCCCACTGCAGGGAACGGGGCTGGGGGTACAACCCCCACCCCGGGGAACGGGGCTGGGGGTACAACCCCCACTGCAGGGAATGGGGCTGGGGGTACAACCCCCATCCCGGGGAATGGGGCTGGGGGTGAAACCCCCATTGCAGGGAACGGGGCTGGGGGTGAAACCCCCATTGCAGGGAATGGGGCTGGGGGTACAACCCCCATTGCAGGGAATGGGGCTGGGGGTACGACCCCCATTGCAGGGAATGGGGCTGGGGGTACGACCCCCATTGCAGGGAATGGGGCTGGGGGTACAGCCAGGAATTCCTTCGCAATATCCCACCTTACAACCCCCATCCCGGGGAATGGGGCTGGGGGTACGACCCCCCTCCCGGGGAATGGGGCTGGGGGTGAAACCCCCATTGCAGGGAATGGGGCTGGGGGTACAACCCCCATCCCGGGGAATGGGGCTGGGGGTACGACCCCCCATCGCAGGGGCTGTGGGTGCCCACTGGAAGCAGGACTGGGAGCACCACGTCCCACGCCGAGAGGCGGGACGCGCAGGGGGAGCAGCCCCGGGGCCGCGGCCGGAGGACAGCAGTGCCCCCCAGGCCCGGCCGATGTTTCCGGAGCGGTGACAGCCCGCGCACGGCGGGGGAGGGAGACAGACCGAAAACACCCAAGCCGTGAACGCGCCCGACCGCGCAGGGGCGGCTGCGGCTGCCGGGAGCCTCCCGCGGGTGCGCACAGGGGCTCCGCGGGGGGCTGAGAACCGCCCGGCGCGGCCCGGCCCGGCACCGGCCGCAGCCCCGCGGCCCGGGACGGCTCCGCTCCCCCGGGACGGCTCCGCTCCCCCGGCCCGGCCTCACCCCGCACGCCCGGGACGGCCCCACGGCCTCGTCCCGGGTCCAGGACCACCCTTTACCGCCGCCGCGCACCCCCGGCCCGGGCTCACCCCACAGCCCCGACCCCACAGCCCCGGCCGGGGCGGCCCCGCGCGGGCCCGGCCCCCCCGCGTCCCCCCGCCGCTCACCGCTCTTGCCGGGGTCGTATCCCACGAGCACGAAGTAGTCAGCCAGGCGGGGCGGGACATCCCGGGGTGTGCGGGGACAGCCCGGGGGTGTGGGGACATCCCGGGGTGCGGGGACAGCCCGGGGGTGTGGGGACATCCTGGGGTGTGCGGGGACACCCGGGGTGCGGGACACCCCCGTGAGCACAGACCCCCGCAGGTGTGCACGGCCCCCAGGTGCCCGCAGGTTGGACACGACCCCCGTTCCACACAAGCCCCCTGGAAAGGACCCCCGCAGGGGTGACCCCACACGGACATGTCCCCACTCAGGGGAGTGCGACCCCCGGGACAGGACCCTGAGGCGCGGTGTCCCCATCCCGTGGTGTCCCCGGCACTCGGGGCTCCGTGCCACCCCGGGGACAGCGGGACCCTGCCCGAGGGCGGCGGTGGCCGCGTGTCCGGTGCCGTTCCTCCGGGAACGGGGATCGGCCCGGGCCCGCGGTGCCGCCGTGCCAGTCCCGTTCAGTCCCGTTCCGTCCCGGAGCTGGCCCGTGCCAGGCCCGGGACACGCGCGGGGCCCGGGCAGGACCCGCCCCGGTGCCCCCGGCAGGGGCGGTCCCGGGGCGGTCCCGGGGCGGAGGTCGCGGGCCCCCGGCGGGCAGGGCAGCCCCGGGAGTCGCCCCTGGGCTCTCCCCGTTCCCGTTCCCGTTCCCGTTCCCGTTCCCACGCGGGAGAGGGACGTGGGCTGCGTGCGGGGTGGGGGGGCGGCCGCACCGCCCGGCCTCGGGCCCCTCGGGACCCTCGGTGTCCCCGGGCAGGGACAGCCCGGGCATGCCCACCCCTCCCGGCGGGGGGATCCCGGGAGGTGCAGCCCCCCACTCCCCCAGCGGGGTCCGGGGCGTGCAGCCCCGCAGGGAGCGCAGCGGGTCTGTGACCCCGTGGGACAGTGACACGGGCCAGCAGCAGGGTGACAGCCCGGGGACAGCCCAAGGGACGGGTACCCGGCGCAGGTGACAGCGGGGACCGGAGCGGGGCCGGAGGCTGGGACAGGAAAACCGGGCAGATCCACCTGGCAGCGCCCGGGGCTGCGCGGGGTGACCTGCCCTGTGCCAGGCTGGGACGGGCACGGGGACACCGCGGGGGTGGCACTGGCACCGCGGGTGGGGCACTGGCATGGCAGGGGTGGCACAGTCACCTCAGAGGTGGCACTGGCACCGCGGGGGGGGCACTACAGGGACCGGCTGCCGGTGCCGCGGGTCGTGGTGGCAGCGGGTGACAGGCAGCAGGGTAGCCCGGCGCGCCCCCCCCGCCGAGCCGCCCGCCCCGCGTGTCCCGCAGCCGCCGCCGCCGCCGCTCGTCCCGTCCCGCCCGGCCATGCGAGCCCCGGCCCCGCTGGCGCTGGGTTGCGTCAGCTTCGCGCTGTGCCTGCTGGAGCTGCCCCACGGCCGGGGCCTGCCGCCGCGCAGGTGAGGGACCCTGCCCGACCCCTGCCCGGAACCCCCTGCCCGATCCCTGCCCGCACCCCCTCCCCGCTCATCCTGCCCGGCTCCGCACCTCCTTTTCCCGCACCCCCTACCCTCCACCCAGCCCCGCGCCCTCCCCGTCGCCCCCCGCCCCCGCAGCTGCCCGGGCTGGGGGCCTGGGGGGTCCCGGGGCAGCGTCTCCTGCCGGGCCCCCACCCCGGGGACGCGGTGCCGGGCGGGGGGTGCGGGGTCCCGGCCCCCGCCTTGGGGACTGGGGGCAGCGGGGACACGGCACGCCCGGAGGTGCGGGGGGTGCCAGGTGTGCCAAGGTGTGCAGAGGTGTGCCAGGTGTGCAGAGGTGTACCAGGTGTGCCAGGTGTGCCAGGTGTGCCAGAGCCGCCGGGGGCTGGCACAGGCCGGGACAGAGATTTTGTGTGTGCAGGAGCTCGGCGGTGCCGTGGCCGCTCTGGGTGCCCGGGGCGGGGTCTTTGGGGGGCTGAAGGGGTCAGCCTGGGGTCGGGGCAGCCCCCCGTGTGAGCGTGCACACCCCGCACGTGCGGGTGCGTGTCCCGGCTCGGGAGCGCGCCTGGGCCGGGCCCGGGCCCGGGGATCCCCGCCTGGCTCGGGGGGTGCGGGAGGGGCAGCCCAGGCACCCCCGGGTGGGGGGCACCGGGGCACCCCCACCCCACCGGGGTCGGGCAGCCCCTGCCGCGGCGGGGGGCGGGCTGGGCTGGGGGTGGGGTCCTCTGGGTTAAAATGGGGAGAAAATACTGAAAAAAGGGAAAAGAGAGGGACGGGACTAAGGACTGGACCAAACCCTCCAAGTTCCTTGGGAAGTTCCAAGGGGGTCCCCTGAGGAAAAGGCGTCCCCGGGACACCCAGGACGGGGGCACTGCGGCACAGGGGAGCTCTGTGGCACCGTGCGGGTGCCCGGAGGCCGGACCGCCCCGCGGGTGCCCGGGGCACGGGCGTGGGTGCCACCCCGGGGCACGCGGGTGCCGGGGCGGGGGCCGTGGGAACGGGGTGGGCGGGGCGGGGGGACCGGGGGGGCTCCGGGGGGACCAGCGCGTGCCCGGTGCTGTCGTGTGTGCGGGACACGTGTCGTGTGCCCGGGGTACGTGTGTGCCTGCAGGTAGCGGCGGCTCCCCTGCTCCGGCTGCTTCCTCCTCCTCCTCCTCCTCCCGGGGGGCGGGCTGGGCTGGGGGTGGGGTCCTCTGGGTTAAAATGGGGAGAAAATACTGAAAAAAGGGAAAAGAGAGGGACGGGACTAAGGACTGGACCAAACCCTCCAAGTTCCTTGGGAAGTTCCAAGGGGGTCCCCTGAGGAAAAGGCGTCCCCGGGACACCCAGGACGGGGGCACTGCGGCACAGGGGAGCTCTGTGGCACCGTGCGGGTGCCCGGAGGCCGGACCGCCCCGCGGGTGCCCGGGGCACGGGCGTGGGTGCCACCCCGGGGCACGCGGGTGCCGGGGCAGGGGCCGTGGGAATGCTTCCTCCTCCTCCTCCTCCTCCTCCTCCGGCTCCTGCTCCTCCTCCCCTCCGGAAGCCCCGTGCTCAGCGCTGGCTCCGGGCTCAGGAGATGCCCGGTGCCCCCCCGAGGCTGTGGCGGTGCCACCGCCGTGCCCGGGAGCTGAGCTGCGTCCCCCTGACCCTGCCCCTTCTCTCCCGCAGAGCCCCCCCGGCGCGGAGCCCCCCGGAGCGGATCCCCGCTCTGCCCGGAGACCCCCCGGCCCCGCAGCCCATCGGGACCCTGCGGCACCGAGCTCCGGTTCCCCGGCACGGCCCGTGGGCCGCCCCCCGGCCCCCGCCGTGGCACGTCCGGCGCCTCATCCTGCGGCACGACCGACGGCACGACCCCCGGCACGACCCCCAGCCGCCCCGGGGCCGGCGCCACGCCGGGGGGCACCTGGTGCGGGTGGGCTGCGTGCTGGGCACCTGCCAGGTGCAGAACCTGAGCCACCGCCTGTGGCAGCTGCGGGGACAGTCCGGCCGCCGCGACTCGTCCCCCATGAACCCCAACAGCCCCCACAGCTACGGCTGAGGGGGGGGCGCGCCCCCGCCCCGCGGGACCCCCGAAGCAGCGCCACGGCTCCTCCGGCCCCGGGGGGCTCCGGCCGCCGCAGCCCCCTGATGGAGCGCCGGGGACGGACGGGAGCTGGCAGCGGCACCCTGGGGACCGGCGGTGGCCCGCGGTGACCCAGCGCGGTCCGTGGTGGCCCTCGGAGACTGGCGGTGGCCCAGAGCGACTCACGGTGACCGGCGCTGGCCCGCAGTGACTCTTGGTGGCTCGGAGTGGCCCCTGGTGGTGGCCCGTGGTGACCCGGGGTGGCCGGCGGTGGGTCCAAGGGCCACCGGGAATCCCGCTGACCGCAGCAGCACCGGCACCTTGTGCAAGACCCTCCGGCCGCGCTCCTGCTGACTCAGCATTCCCGTGGTGCTGCGGCACCCCCGGAGCCCCCCAGGGCACCCCAGCCCTTCCCCGCGGTGACACTGGGGCGGGGGGCCCTGCAGGGACAGGGCACAGGGACCCCGCTCCGGGCTGGGGACGGGGCAGCCCCCAGCACCTTCCCCACGCTTGGGGGTCCCGGTGGGGGCTGGCACTTCCCGGGTGCTGGGGGGTCCTGCCCTCCTCATGAACATTGTCCCCTCCCCTGGCACCTGTGCCCAGCCTGTGTCACCCACAGCCCGGCAGGAGCTGGCCACAGGGAGATGTCCCCAAATGTGGGGGGCAGTGGAAAGATTGGGGTTCTGTGCCCCACTGCTGCCCTGTCCCGGACCTGTCCCCACTCCTGGCCCTGTCCTGTCCATCCCTGTCCCCTGCTGCACCCCCGGGGACACCCCCACGTCGTGTCCCCACAGGCTCAGTGGGTGCCCACCCGGGCTGGGGGCCCATGGACACGAGGGGACACGTGTGACATCCCTGTCACCCCGGGGTGCCGCTGTCACCCCCCAGGGCTGTCACCTGCCAGGGCCATCACCCCACGGCGCCGTGGGACAGGGATGTGTGACCCCAGGTCACCGTCCCACCCCCTCCTGGGAGCAGCTTCAGCAGCCCCCCCAGAGCAGCAGCCCCAATCCCTCCAGAGCAGCCCTGTCCTCCCAGGAGCACCCCGTTCCCAGAGCACCTCATTCCAAAAGCACCCCATTCCTAGAGCATTCCCGTTCCCAGAGCACCCCATTCCCAGAGCATTCCCGTTCCCAGGAGCACCCCATTCCCAGAGCACCCCGTTCCCAGAGCATTCCTGTTCCCAGAGCATTCCCATTCACGGTGATCCCATAGGGATGGGATAGGGGATGGGGCAGGGATGGGGCACGGTGATCCCATAGGGATGGGATATGGGATGGAGTGTGGTGATCCCATGGGGATGGGGCAGGGATGGGACACGGTGATCCCGTGGGGATGGGACAGGGATGGGACACGGTGATCCCATAAGGATGGGATATGGGATGGGATGTGGTGATCCCATCGGGATGGGGCACAGTGATCCCATGGGGATGGGGTAGGGATGGGGCACGGTGATCCCATAGGGATGGGATATGGGATGGGATGTGGTGATCCCATGGGGATGGGCAGGGGTGGCCAAGGGGCAGCCATGTCCAGGGACAGGCACGGAGTCCCTCCAGGGCAGGAGGTGACAGGCGGGGGCTGTGTGCACAGGGATGTGGGGACAGTGGGGACACACACACGTGCGTGTGCCACCCCCGATGCCCGGCCGTGCCCGTGCCCACACGTGCCCATGTCCGGCCGTGTCCCTGCCCTGTCCTGGCCGTGCCCACACGTGTCGTGCCCACCCGTGCCAGCCCGGGCCGGGCCCTGTCACACCCGTGCCATCGCGCTGTCCCCGTCCCCCCCGGGCAGTGCCAGCCCGGTGTCCCCGCTCTGTCCCAAGCCCCCCCGTGCCCCCCGTCCCCAGGGCCCGTTCCGCTCCCCGTGTCCCTGCGGGGTCACCCCGCGGCCCCACCCGGGGGTCCCCAGCTCGGGGCCGGCCCAGGGGTCCCCCAGCCCCCTCCGGGAGCCGCAGCCCCCCAGGCGGGCGCGGGGTCAAACATTAACCGGGGAGGGTTAACTGGTCACCGATTGTCCCCGCGGGGCCGGGCGGGCCCCCCGCGCCACCCCCCGCCATAAAAGCGGGGGTGCGGCGGCCGCCCCGCAGCCAGGGAGCCCCCAGACCCAGCATGAGCAGCCTGCAGGAGGTGAGTGGGGTGGGGGGCTCGGGGCTGCACCGGGGGGACAGACACACCGAGGGGGACAGACACACCGGGGGGGACAGACACGCCGGGGGGGGGACAGACACACCCGGGCCACCCCAAACCCGGGGGGCAGAGGAGACCCCCCGGCGATGCTGTCCCTGCTGGGGGGTGCCACCCCACCCCAAAGGGCCCAGCTGGGGGGTCCCCTGCAGGGGGGGGTCCCAAGGCCATGGGGAGCTGCTCCCCACCCTGGGCGGGGTTGGGGGGCCAGGGCCAGCCTGGGGGGTGTCCCACAGCACCCGTGGGGCTGAGCAGGGACCCTCTCACTGTCCCCAATGGGGACCCCCGGACTGCTGTCCCCACCTAGGGACAGCCGGGGCTGGACCCCCCCAGGGATCGGGGACGGCACCCCCAGGTCTGTCTGTGCCCGGGGGGGGAACAGTGTGTGCTGATCGGTGACACCGTGTGACACAATCACAGATAGTGTGTGATAGGGCGTGACACCGTGTGACAAAGTGTGACATTGTGTGATAGTGTGCGACGCTGTGTGACACCAATGCATTGGTGGGTGACACTGTGACCCCCCGTGCCGGTGTGATCCCAGGCATGCGGGTCTCTCCTTGGTGCCAGTGCTCCCCTGTCCCCAACCTCCTGTCCCTGTTCCCAACCTCCTGTCCCTGTGTCCCCCTCTCCCCAGCCTCCTGTCCCTGTCCCCAACCGCCTGTCCCCGTGTCCCCCTGTCCCCAACCTCCTGTCCCTGTGTCCCCCTCTCCCCAACCTCCTGTCCCTGTTCCCAACCTCCTGTCCCCATGTCCCCCTGTCCCCAACCTCCTGTCCCTGTGTCCCCCTGTCCCCAGCCTCCTGTCCCTGTCCTGCATTGCCCGGGCTGGGGCAGGATGGGGCCCCTGAGCCACTCCGGTCCCTGTCCCCTGTCCTTGTCCCCGTCCCGCGGTGCCCACGCGGGTCCCCTGAGCCCCCGTCCCCCGCAGGACCCCGACTCCTCCGAGGAGCCCAAACCCGGCAAGGCCAAGACCGAGCTCCGCAACTACACCGTGAGTGGGGGTCCCGCGGTGGGCGGGGGTCCCAAGCCGGGCGGGTCGGGGGGTGCCGGGGATCCCCCGGAGCGCCCCCAGCCCGCGGTGCCGCCCCGCAGGAGGGGAGGCTGATCGACCGCGTGTACAACACCTACCTGCTCATGCACACGCACCAGACCGTGGAGTTCGTCCGCAGGAAGGTGCGACCCGCCCCGGTGTCACCCCCTGTCCCCCGGTGTCACCTCCTGTCCCCCGGTGTCACCCTGCGTCCCCCGGTGTCACCCCCTGTCCCCCGGTGCCACCTCCTGTCCCCCGGTGTCACCTCCTGTC